CATCGATTTACTAGTATTGCGATCATTACATTCGACAATCGAACCGCCCTTACGAAAAATTACCATAAAGTGCATAGCTTGCCCTACGTTTTAGTACACTGTGAGATTGAGACTGGTCGAAAAACCTTTAATAAAACCCCCTAAACAAGGTTTGAATCCATAGAAGTACACAAAATAACAAAATTCTGTCAGTCAGAGATGAGGCAGGTCTGTAAAATTAACATATGTAATCCACCTGGTGCCGAAGGCGGTGTAAAGAGCCTCTTTAATTCAACAAGAACTTTGAATTTGTTATTTTTTTTCATTAAAAAAAAATATACCGACAATAAATAACATCTGTTCCATCTGTACTAACAATGTCCTCCACCTTTTAATTTTGGGCGCAAAACTTAAAAAGGCACTTAAAATTTGGCACTTATACCGAAAATAGAAGGCACTAATACCGAACCGTAATTGAAAACGTTTGAAAAGCTCGGTCATCATCGACATCATTTTCCGACCACAATTCATAAATAATAATAAAAACACAAGACAAACCACAAAAAATAAAGATTCAACCAAAAGCAGTAGTTTCGCGTGCTTGCCGTGGAGACGAGACGGGTAACTAGGGAACCGGTACTTTCCACGAAAAATTCATCATAAATAGCCGTCAGCAAATGTTATTCTTGAATTAAAACCGACTGACAGCAATTTACAATTCAAGGTAATTTAAAAGTCTGTCGTTATCTCTGACGCTACTGTTTAAGCGAAATCATCTCGTTTATATGTACAAATACCAACTGCTTTTAGGCTCCTTTTATCTTTTATTAATAAGAAACTATTGTTGAAGTGAAAAAGAAAAATTATGTGCCTCTAATATGCGCCAAAACAAGAATAGAAAGATAAACCTTACGACCTTGAAACAATGGAATCGAGACACCTGTATGCAAAAACGATTTAACATAAGAGAAAACAGCTTGGTTTGTAAATATTCCTGGTCAATAGAAAAAGTGCTAACGGACAGCAACCACAGGAACATGCAACAGAACGAGAGCTTTACGTTAAACTCGCTTACAACGTCCATTTTACCTTCTTCAGTTGCAAACGGAAAGAAATTTCGCCATGATCACTGGGCTTGGCATTTCTATGCTTACACATTTGCGACATTGTTTGGCATTTTCGCGCTGAGTTGTTTTGCTATCATTGTTCGCCAATGCAAGCAGCCTTCTGGCAGTCGGATTGTTCACGGTCGTTTCACAACGATCCAGCTTTTTGCTGCAGCGTCGCTAAAAGTAGTCGCACTGCTTTGGAGCCCTTTATTGTTGGACGAAGCATCGAAGGAAGTGTTCACAATAGCATTGCTTATAGACTGCTGTTCCTTAGCGTTGATTCTCTCTGCGTTCAGCATTCTCCTTCTCATATTACTAGAAACAACGAAGACTTCACTAGCTCCTCCGCGGCTTCAGAACATTTGGGTGTTGCTCGCCATCACAGGCGTACTAACGTTGGTTATGCTGACATTCAACCTGCTGGTTTTGTACGCAAACAAGAAGTTTTGGTACTTTCTATCTTATCTGGCTCTCTCTACGTGGAGAACACTGATCTGCACTGGCTACGTTGTAGCAGGGCGCAGAATGTGGAGGAACCTGCAGTCCTCGCGAGAGCTTGGAAAATCTTCAGGGGAACGAAGACTGAAAAACATTACAATACTAGTCCTCCTTGCACCGTTTATTACTGCAGGGATGTTAATTCTGACTGTCTGTTTAGCTGCTGCCCAGTACGGTATCTTCAAACGTTTAAAGATGTCTGCCGAGACATTCAACTGGAGAAAGTATGTAATTATGTTTCTGCTAAAGGGCTGCGAGCTTGTGATTGTGCTTTTGATCTTTGGAGTTGTCATTCGAACAAAGTCTGGAAAAGGTTCCGAGGATGACGCTCCAAATGTACAGCTAGGGACATTCGTGGAGGAAACACCGACAGAGGAAAACCACGAAGACGAAGCATCGAGTAGTGCGACACACAATACAAGATAAAANGTTGTCGTTCGAACAAAGTCTGGAAAAGGTTCCTTGGGTGATGCTCCAAGCCTACAGCTAGGGACATTCGTGAAGGAAACACCGACAGAGGAAAACTACGAAGACGAAGCATCGAGTAGTGCGACACACGACAAAAGATAAAAAATAAAAAAGATCCAAGTTCATTGTGTTGATACACTTCGCTATAAGAGTGAGTCTCTGGCATCTTAATCTACAAAAATAAGGTCGAAACTATTGCTTGGAGGCCAGTGGATCTCTTTCTGGCATTAGACTAATGAATAAGACTATCAGACCAGAAAATGTTTATTATTCAAGTAAATGGATATAGGAAATCTAGTATAAAAAGCATTTACGCACAACGGCAATGATTTTACGAGGTAGAGGACCCAGCACGGCTGATGTGTCTTCCTCTGTAAATATTGTATTTTATTTAATCAGAACGCTCAGTAATATGCATATTTTTAGTTAAATAATGCAAAAACATG